AAATAAATTTGTTAAAATTTACTTTGTGACAATTAGTTAGTTTTAAATTCTCTGAATTCTAAAACTTTAATGTAACATATATCGACGACGTATTGTCAATAAATAATGGTCAATTCCATTCCTACGTAGATACTATATATCCTGATGAGCTTGAGATAAAAGATACCACAGAGCCTGACACATCTGTTTCATACTTGGATATTTTACTTGAAAAAGACGTTAATGGTAACCTAACAACCAAACTATATTTTAAACGTGATGACTAACTTTTCTATTGTCAACTTCCCTTACTTATGCAGCAATATACCTTCATCACTTGCATACAGAGTCTACATATCTCAGTTGATTCGATACGCAAGAGAATGCTCTAGACATGAACAATTTCTAAAATGAGGTAAATTATTAACAAGCAAGTTGATGAAACAAGAATATCAATAGTCTCGTTTAAAGTCATTGCTTCGTAAAATTTTTGATCGCTACAATGACCTTATCAGCAAATACAATTTATAATTGAGACAAATGCTGACTGACGTTTTTCATACTTATTGTTAGTCCATTATTTATACACTGAATTGACGACGGATTTTCCCGTGATTTCCCGATCATGACAAGGAGCACACGGCGGGTGTGACCGGTCAGTAGGGGATGCTCACTCCATGGCACCTAATCCCACCTCTGATGTTTTGAAGGTCCTTGTTTGCTCTGCTCCAATTTTGTATTGTTTTATGGACTTTGATTTTGAATATTGTTCGTTATCTCCATATCCGTCCATACTCAAGGTCGTGTCTTGAAGGTTATAGTATTCGGACTTAATGTAAGATTTGGCTACCCTACATCACCCAATCCAAGGTCAGCTTATGATTAACTGGAGTAATTATATTGATGAATTAGTATATATTACGGCCAACTTCGTGATATGTGCGATGAATATTTTAATATGACTGAATGATAATTGAGATAATCATGACTCAGTGATGATTTTGTTGAAGATTCATTGACGACTGAGGTGAATGTCATGGTGGAATTGTTCATTTTAGTCTTGGTGTTATTCGAATTGAATAAATTTTAAGGTACCCCTCCATCTGTTCATTTATTCCTTATTAGCTTGTAATTTTCCAAAAGAATTAAAAATATAAGCAAAAAAGAAATTATAATTTGATCATGCGGCCTACCTTGCTGGACAGAAAGTACGTTTTCATTTGAAAGTTTGATAGACGAACAATAAACTTTATTCCAGCGAGAGTTATCTCTCTTATCAGGCGATTGATCAACCTTGAAACTGAATATAATGATTGGGTTGAATAGGCTGAAGATTTAATGATGATTAGGAAGATGATTTTATAGACTGAGAAAAAGAGATGATTTTTTAAGACACGGAGATGATTGAAATGATTACAACTGTTTTAAATTCAGTGATGGTTAAAGCAATATGAGCTGCATGGTTGGCATCGGGAAAAATATTTCAATTTTGTAAATAACTATTTTCAATGACAGGAAAATAGAACATTTATAAACTTCTTTTGTTCATATTGCTATGGAAGAACTTTTTATAAGCTTTGATCGAAACAAAATTGAATTATTATCGTCCTGTACAATTATGATTTCTTATATAATACTGTATATATATTTGGTTGTACAGAAATATTTCTTCTGAAACATTTTTGAAATCTATTTTTGTCTTATTGATCGTAAGGGTATAGATTACATACAACGTTAACAGATTTATCATAATTACACATTTTAACAGCAAAATAAAATTCTCAAAAATGCAGCTCATATTTCTTTAAGAATACAATTCAGAAAACTCCATGTCGAACAAGGTTACATGTTAGACTCACTGGTGATTATGATAATGATGTTAATGACTCCGTGTGGTCCGACAAAAATAGTTGAGAGGATTTTGTTGAAGTTTCAGTGATGACATTTTTATGTTAAAAGTTGATGAAAGATTGAGGTCGTTAGGTTTCATGTGTTAAGTAATTTGAATATGGATGGAAGATTGAAATGAACATGTTAAAAATGTCGAAGCTTCAGGGATCAAATGATACAGGCAGTGATGGTGGGAATAATTAGATCTAAGACTCAGTGATATTTAACACAATTCTGCTCTAGTTTAAAGGTCTTCAATCCCTAATAGGAAGAAATTCAATGAAATAGAAAACATAACAGATATGTAGGCATTGAATACTCAGTTTATATATATACATACTTCCCATTTATTACTATAAGTATGTTTAGTTGAATGTGTCCTAATTAATGACCTTGAATTTGGTAAGAGTTATCTTCCCTTTTTTAATTAATAAAAGAAAACAATAAAAAATTTGGCTGGTAAAAAATTGTTTTCAATTATCATGCTATTTTTAATATTTCAATACATCTTTCCACCACAGGATTTATTGATATTCAAATTATTTGAATTTTTATTTAAAAAAAACCGCTTTTCCCCATAGACTTCAATGCAATCTTTGTTAATTAACTACTGCTTAATTAATGAACTTTTTGAAAATTACTCGTGGGCAATCCTTTTTCACTATAAAATGCTTTAATATAATATCAGAGTATTGTGTACTTGACGGACATTTAAGGGTAGAGTATTTGGTCCCATTAGGGATTGAAATCCTTAATGCTAACCGAAACTTGTACAGCGATATGTTATTCACTGGCCAATGATTGTATTAAATCAATGTTTTGATTTCGATGATTTAATACACGAAAGATACATTAGTGACTCTGGTAATGATTTAGAATAATTATGTTGATGTGTTATGATGATTTAGAATGATTATGTTGATGTGTTGTTGATGATTTAGAATGATTATAATTATATTTAAGTGATGGTTGAAAAGGATTATGTTGTTGTGTCGCTGAAGATATAGAAAATACATGGTTACTGTCTAGAAATTTAAGTGATATTTGGGCGAGGGTAAGAAAACGTGATAGAGGACGAGGCTTGCCGAGCCTTCTTACGTTTTCGACCCAATCCTATTGGTAATGATGAATGATTATGTAGACGTGTTGATGACGATTTAGAATAATTATGTTGATGTGTTAGTGAAGATTTTAAATGTTAGAATGATTATGTTGATGTGTTGGTGATTTAGAATGATTATTTTGATGTGTTGGTGATGATATAGAATGATTATTTTGATGTGTTGGAGATAATATAGAATAATTATGCTGATGTGTTGGTGATAATTTAGAATGATTATGTTGATGTGTTGGTGATTTAGAATGATTATGTTGATGTGTTGGTGATGATATAGAATGATTATTTTGATGTGTTGGTGATGATTTAGAATGGTTATGTTGATGTGTTGGAGATTGTCACAACTGACCTCAAGTTGTGATGGATTCGTTAAATCAGAATTTACAAACCAAAATAAATAATATTTTGTAAGACCTCCTGTATACCAAGAAACAACAAGATTTATAAAAATTAACAATAAATTTATCTACATATGTACAATAAACATGAAAACGGCCAAAAGTTCAATCATGGTCATCACTGAACAGATTCACACTTCACACCACGTCGCAATGTATGGTCCACCATATTGTCCCTTCCGGTCCACCATATCCCAAAAGTATCCTCACCATGTACACCAATCCTCCCGTCCAGAACAAAAGCTTAATATACAATTTTGGTCACCTACAATTTTCATAGGGTTTTCTAATAAAATGTTCGAAACACATATCTGTTCAATATACTAGATTTTACAAACAAATAACGAAAGAAAACATGTATTTGCCGTTTAACAAGTAAATGAATTAGAGCGTAAATATCTATATTCTCGCTATATTGCTTACAGTTTTACATAGAAAATTGCTCTTTAAAGCTAACAACAAAAATATTGTAAAGTATAAAAACTTACTGAGCTGTGGCATTTTATACATAAAAACCATATCTGTCATGGATTTGCTATTCTTCAAAGAATTTTCCCATATATTTCTATGTAAAAGGTCTTGCTCTCAACGCCGCTACAAAACATCCCTGAATCCCAAGATCACACAGCAGGGGAAACAGCTATATAAAACACACCCAAGTTCACACAGCATGGGTTATATAAATGCACACCCAAGATCACTAAGCATGGGTAAAGCATAACTCACAGCGAAAATTTTTAAAGAACCTCATCTGACACACACTAGCCAACACCCAGTATAAATAACTGACCAAACTACTCAAACGGATGCTTCCATATAAATTTGATGAATTAGTATACGTTGATAAAAATAGAACAAATACAACTCAGTGACCAATAGTGCGTAAATGAAATAAACGATAACTCCTAACGCCCAAAATAAAGATACAATGAAACGCATTGAAGTGGTAAAATTTTCCGTTCGAATGGAAGGTTTTGAGCTATCTTTAGAACGTTTATTGTCATCTTATGACACGCCCATTTCTTTAGAAATGGACAAATACTGTCAATTTGTTTATTCGAATACCTGTAGAACAGGTTTCCATAAATATAATAGCCAATGAAATTGTCGGTCTAAATAAACACCGAGTAAACACGTGTTCGACCGAAACATGTGTTGTGGTAACATCAGTAGACATGATAAGTTCAAAAATATGTACATATGCGTTGCAATTTGAGTTTTACAGAAGCAGGGAGTCTCTAACTCTCTCTTCTAATTTTTAAAGCTTCATTTTACAGTGTAACTCATATTGCTTTTCATAAAAACCAGATTGGAGTGTCCTAAAACATTGAATTGACACATATTTTCACACTCGTTATATAAATGCACAAAATATGGGCGTGTCATTATGTTGTAACTGACGTTCAAAACATGACCCAGAATGTTTCGTCCACACGGAAAATTTTACCACTTCAATGCACTTCATTGTAATTCTTACCAAATCCTGTACAATAAGCTAATATTAAACATTGACACAATGTCACTTGTGACAATACCTCCCTTCTTAAGACACAAAATGCAATTTTGTGACATAAATGAAAAACTATGTACACAACAAAGTCTTTATGAACAAGAACTTACTCAGGAACAACACGACTGAGAAAATCAGCTCCAATGTTATCTACACCTCTAATAACTTCAGTTCTAAAGTTGAACGCTTGTAGAAAAAGAGACCATCTCATCAATTTGCTGTTTGAAACTTTAGTCTTTTGTAAATGAAGTAGTGATCTATGATCTGTCTCCACAACAAACGCTCTTCCATACAAGTAAGACTGAAATTTCTGTATAGCCCATACAACTGCAAGACACTCTTTCTCCACAACCGAATAACGTTGTTCTCTGTCTAGCAGCTTCCGGCTTGCATACGCAACTGGAAATGTACGTCCATCATGCTTCTGCATCAGCACTGCACCAACTCCATGATTAGATGCATCAGTTCTTAAGATGAATGGCTTCGTCAAATCTGGTAATCTGAGAATTGGGCTGTATAGCAACATGGATTTTAAACTCTTAAATGAATTATCATGTTCTTGTTTCCAGTCAAATTTGTTTGGAACACCTTTCTTGGTTAAGTCAGTTAAAGGAGCAGCAATAGAGGAAAAGTTTGGCACAAATTTTCTATAATAGCCAATCAAACCAAGGAAAGATCTAACCTGCTTCTTTGTCTCTGGCCTTGGTGCTTCTTGGATAGCTCTTAACTTCTTGTTGGTTGGCTGTAAGGTTCCTCCTCCAATAACATGACCCAAGTACTCAAGTTTCGTCTGCGCTAGCTCACATTTAGATGGTTTTGCTATTAATTGCGCTCTCTGAAGTCTCTCCAGCACTTTTCTCAGTTCTGTAATATGTTCTTCAAAAGTTTCTGTATGAATGAGAATGTCATCAACAAAACTATCAGTATGCTCTAAACCTTTGAGAATTTTCCTCATTAGCCTGTTAAAAGTAGCTGGGCTATTCTTCATACCGAAGGGCATTACTTTAAATCTGTACAAACCATCTGGTGTTAAAAATGATGTTAAATCTCTGTCTTCTTCTCTCATCGGAATCTGCCAATAACCCTTACATAAATCAAGCTTAGAAAAGAAACGACTATTGCTTATTTTAGTCATGATTTCATCTGGATCTGGCATTGGTTCTGGATCAAAAATCGTTACCTTATTCAAGTTACGAAAATCCACACATATTCTCTGGCTACCATCGGACTTCTTTGCCACGACAATCGAACTAGCATACGGTGATTCTGATGGTTCGATGATATCCATGTCAATCATATGCTGTATTTCTTCTCGGACTGCACTTCTGACTGCATACGGTATCTGATATGGTCTGTTTCTGATTGGTTCTTTGGTAGTGAGATGAACTTCATGCTGGATAACATTCGTTCTACCAGGTAGATCTGTTAAAACTTCCTGAAATTCATGTAAGACATCATTAATGGATTCAAGCTGATCTGATGACAGTGAATGATTTACCTTAACATCTGTGAATGATTCTGTTGCCTTCATTGGAAGAAGATGTAACAAATGTTCATTACTGGAGTCCTCTGTTTCCTCCGATTCCAAAACGACACAAGAGGCTAAAGTTGTTGGCGAGTCTGTATTCCTTTCCTCTCGAACATTGTATTTCTTCAATAAATTTGCATGAAACAAACGAATATGTCCATTCATATCTATCTGGTAATCAGTTTGTCCTTTTCTATCAACTACTTTGAAAGGTCCTTTCCACTGCATTAAAAGTTTGTTATGGTCTGTTGGAAGCAAAAGAAGAACGAAATCACCAACCTTGAAAGATCTCGGCTTTGTTCTTTTATCGTACTGTTTCTTGTGATAATCTTTGGACTTCTGAAGTTCTCTCTGAGCCAGCTCACACGTTCTTGCTAGTCGCTCCTTAAGGTCAAGCACATACTGGTAAGTAGTTTTCACTTCCGGGTCCTTCTCCTCCTTCGTCCACAGTTCTTTCAAAACTTTCATAGGTCCCCTAACATTACGTGCATAAACTAGATCAAATGGAGAAAATTTAGTGCTTTCTTGTGGAACTTCTCGATAAGCAAATAACAATGCTGGTAAATATCTATCCCAGTCTTTTGGTCTTTCAAAACTCATTTTCCTTAACATTGACTTCAAAGTACCATTGAACTTTTCTACTAGTCCATTACATGCTGGATGGTATGGAGTTGTTACTAATTGCTTAAATGATAAAAGTCGACCCACCTCTTTCATGATGTTGGAGGTAAATTGCGTACCCATGTCCGACAGAACTTCTTTTGGAATGCCAACTCTGCTGAATATCTCTACCAACGCTTCTGCCACCGTCTCTGTATCGATGTTCTTCAATGCAACCGCCTCTGGATACCTAGTACTGTAATCTACAACAGTCAAAATATATCTATTGCCTTTGTCAGTAATTGGAGAAAGCGGACCTACCAAATCTACGGCTACCCGTTCAAATGGTGTATCAATAAGTGGCATTTTCTCCAACGGAACCTTCGTCACTTTGCCTTTAGGAAATGTTCTTTGGCATATGTCACATGATTGGCAATATCTCGTCACGTCACCCTGGATTCCAGGCCAATAGAAATTCGACATGATACGGTCTAGAGTTTTCTTTGTACCAAGATGTCCGCCTAGGATACTGTCGTGCGCAATCATCATAACTTTCTGTCGCAAAGGTTCTGGAACAAGAAGTTGTTTATACAGTTTTTCATCACTAACCTTTCTTGAATGATAATGTCTGTACAACAGTCCTCTTTCAACACTAAACCATGTCTCTATATTTTCACCAATGTTCTTCTTTCTGCCAGTCGCTGCATGCTCACGATACACTTTCAAGGAAGAATCATCCATCTGCAGTTGTTTCATCAGATCAATTGTCATATCAGTATCCACTAAATCTGTAACTTTTAGCTTTTTCATACCTTTCTCTTCTTTTTTCTTTTGATTCCTTGTCTGTACTGCTTGAAGAACTTGACTACACTCTTCTCTAACGTCTTTTCTACACCACTGTGGATCAGGATCCGTCTGATTTCTGGCACCATTGATGTTACCTATAATAAGATCGTAAACAGGTTCTTTCATACATAGAGCATTGATATTACCTGTGAAATAGGGAGTGTCGACATAGATGGAAGCCTCCTGCACTGTACGAACTGTGCCGTCTATCAGAACACATTTCTGCACTTGCCCAGTCAGCTGATCATCTGTAACCAAATCTCTCTTCACAACAACACCACTACAACCTGAGTCTCTTAATACTTTAACAAAGTTCTCACCGACATAACCCATAGCAACGGGCATCTTTTCACAAACCTTGCAGACGCCTCCAATAACAGGTAATATGTGTCCACATGCGAGTTTTACAAGTCCATCTGTGACACAACACTGCAACAGTTTATGTTTGAGAATGCATGCTGATCCTATGTGAGGCTGATTTTGATGCGATATAGCATTGTCCGTCTTGACTTCAGCAGAATTCTGTAAGCTGGAACTAGAATTGTCATTAGATTTTATGCAATTCAACTCACAGTTATGTTGACTCTGTAACACTGCAGCCTTTTGAGTATTGTGCGAAGTAGGTACTGCACGAGGAATTTTCTGCTTGGAGAAACAGTTTCTTGCCAAATGACCACTTTTCCCACAGATGTAACATTTTCTCTCACCCTTTTGCTGTAGTGATCCTTGGTACGCCTGTTGTTTTTGAATGGATCCACTGTTATTACTCTGAACGTTGTAAGTGCTTGATGGTTGCTTCTGAAAAACTTGTAAGTCTTTAGTGAATGAAGTATAACCATGAGCTTCAATAAATTGATCTGCGAGTTTTGACATTTCTTCTACGCTGAGCTTCGGATGTCTTTCTTTAAGATACATTCCCAACTGCTTACTACAACTGTTTAAAAACTGTTCTCTTAAACACAAATCTTTAAGACCGTCATATGTTTTAGGACTATCTGCTAAAGACAACCATTTCTCAACATAATTGTTCAGCCTAGCAAAGAATTGTGAAGGATTCTCACCCTGTTCTGGTCTGCTGGAACGGAATTTGACACGAAACCCTTCTTCCGTCAGTTGAAAACGCCTTAACAACGCTTGTTTCAAGGTACCATAATTCAGAGCCTCTGAAACTGGAAGTCTAGAATACACCTCAAGAGCTTTACCTTTCAGGAGAGCACTAAGATTAATCGCCCATGAAGACTGTTCCCACTTAGCACACGAAGCAAACCTTTCGAATCTCTGTAAATATGAATCAATACAATCTTTAGATTCATCAAACGGAGGTAACTTTGGCAACTTAGCAAGCGATTGAGAAGCAAGACCTAATGGATCTACAGCTAATTCTCCAGCTTTTAATTTTTGTAATTCAGTTTCTTTCTTAAGTTTTTCTAATTCAATTTCGCTCTCAATCTTTCTCGCTTCTCTCTCTGCTGCCCTTTCCATCCTTTCAAAATATTCTCTCTCTTTTCTGTCAACAAACTCTTGTAACTCAGTTCCTTGCAAACCTAACTTTTCTCCTAATTGTACATACTCCATTGTTACAATATGCAACGCAACAACAAACAAATGTGAAAATAAGAAAATAACAAAATGCATATGAAAAAAATAGTTTGTACAAAACCTGCGAAAAAAAAAATAATTCAAACAATAGAAATCTTTTTCAACTAAAGCCTTTTCTACAAAACGTGAAAATAATGCAGGTATACTTGGTAACAGGAACTCTATCCCACCGCTGCCACCAAAAATGTCACAACTGACCTCAAGTTGTGATGGATTCGTTAAATCAGAATTTACAAACCAAAATAAATAATATTTTGTAAGACCTCCAGTATACCAAGAAACAACAAGATTTATAAAAATTAACAATAAATTTATCTACATATATACAATAAACATGAAAACGGCCAAAAGTTCAATCATGGTCATCACTGAACAGATTCACACTTCACACCACGTCGCAATGTATGGTCCACCATATTGTCCATTCCGGTCCACCATATCCCAAAAGTATCCTCACCATGTACACCAATCCTCCCGTCCAGAACAAAAGCTTAATATACAATTTTGGTCACCTACAATTTTCATAGGGTTTTCTAATAAAATGTTCGAAACACATATCTGTTCAATATACTAGATTTTACAAACAAATAACGAAAGAAAACATGTATTTGCCGTTTAACAAGTAAATGAATTAGAGCGTAAATATCTATATTCTCGCTATATTGCTTACAGTTTTACATAGAAAATTGCTCTTTAAAGCTAACAACAAAAATATTGTAAAGTATAAAAACTTACTGAGCTGTGGCATTTTATACATAAAAACCATACTGTCGGCCCCCAGGTCTTGCTCTCAACGCCGCTACAAAACATCCCTGAATCCCAAGATCACACAGCAGGGGAAACAGCTAAAACACACCCAAGTTCACACAGCATGGGTTATATAAATGCACACCCAAGATCACTAAGCATGGGTAAAGTATAACTCACAGCGTCCAGACCTCATCTGACACACACTAGCCAACACCCAGTATAAATAACTGACCAAACTACTCAAACGGGTTCGACGAGTATACGTTGATAAAAATAGAACAAATACAACTCAGTGACCAATAGTGCGTAAATGAAATAAACGATAACTCCTAACGCCCAAAATAAAGATAACTCTTACCAAATCCTGTACAATAAGCTAATATTAAACATTGACACAATGTCACTTGTGACAGAGATAATATAGAATGATTATGCTGATGTGTTGGTGATAATTTAGAATGATTATGTTGATGTGTTGGTGATAGTTGGTGATGATATAGAATGATTATGTTGATGTGTTGGTGATGATATAGAATGATTATGTTGATGTGTTGGTGATGATTCAGAAGGATTATGTTGATGTGTTGTATATAAATCCTCCGACGTTAACGTAAAATTACCTACAAAGGTTCTGGTCAAAATATTGGATCCTAATGCCCACTTTTATTAAAAAGTATGTTTTTCAAGTTTTGTCAAGTTTTGTCCTTTTTGGTGTGGGGATAGGTTGTAGGGACTTCAGATCTCGTATTCTTTTGAGCTTTCCTCTTAGAGTGAAAAAAACATCACTCAGTTCTCCTATACGGCAGTGAAACCTGTAAATGTTAATTGAGTGTTGATTATTTTTCATAAATTCTACCTCATTTCACTTATATAACATGTTTATTTACCGCTAATATATTTCCACAAAAATGTATTTTATAAGATGAATGTAAATATTTTTAGTATAGCTTTAATAGCTTGTGGGGCAAAATAAACTACTTATATAAGGAATGACGCTTGAAGAGGTATCTTTCTTTTCAGGGTTTTGACAAACCTCAAAACGTTTGAAAGTCAATGATCGATCATTTCTGGAAAGAAGAGATGACACAAACTGAGTCCTCTACAAGAAGGAACCGGTCGTAATAAGGGCCGAAAATTATATGATAAACTCTTTATGATGCACTTATTATGTTCCCCAAACGAAGTTCGGGAACATATTGTTTTTACTCTGTTTCTTATTATTATGTCATCCCAGACGAAGTCGGGACGACATATTGCGATTGTACGCATGTTTTTTTGTCCAAGCGTTTTCTTGGAGATGGCTGGGACAATCGTCTTGAAACTTTCCTCAAAGGAAGATCACTGGTAGTTGTGGGACCGTTTTTTCAATTTCTTTCAAAATGGCTACCGTTGCCATGGAACCTACAAAAAGCGACGAATTTTGTCCGCGAGTGTTCTCTCTGGTCCTTTGGACATTCTTCATGAAACTTTGTAGTTGTAATGGTTAGTATATGTAATGCGATTTGCATTTAAAAATTGGAAAAAAAAGTTTCCATGGAAACATGTGAAAAGCGAAATATATTTGATTTTAAATAAGTACCGAAAATTATGAAAATTGGTTTTACAAGCTTAGCTATAATGGGTTTTGTTTTAGTAATGACAAAATGTGAAAGATTTGTCCAGTCTGGGACGACATAAGCTATTGCTTGCAATGGCAAACTTTCTAGTTATTATTTTTCTTCTTGGGAAAATTTTGTCCGCGAATGATCTTGTAAAGTACACATCCGATTAAGGGGAAACCTTTTTAGGATAAGTAGGCATGTTGTAGATTTGCTAATCGACGGTCATTTTGCGCGCACGTGCTTGCAAGAGCGCGCACGTGCAACACGTGGAATGACCAATATACTTGAAATTGCCGTAATATTTACATTTTTTTGATGTAATGCTTTGATATTTAGAATATATAGACATATTATAAATGTAGATAAGATGACATTGTCAACATGCCATTTTGCGCGCACGTGCTTGCAAGAGCGCGCACGTGAAACACGTGAAATAACCAATATAATGGATATAGCCGTAACTTTTCTATTTTTTGAGGAAATCTTTTGAAATTTATAATGTAAGGATATATTAGTAGTGTAGACAAGATGACATGATCAAAAAAGCAAGATCTCACGCGCATGCACGTGCGCTTCGCTCTGATTGGCTGAAACTAAAGTCTCTATATCTTTCTTGTTCTTTGACGAAATCCTATGAAATTTTGAACATAGCCATGCCATAGGCGCTTGGGTCAGGGATACTGTATTTTTTCTATATAATGTATTGACAGGAAATTCTCTGCTCTAACATTTTTTTTCAGTGTGCAGTGTTAATTTTTAGTTTTTTGTAAACCTTTCTCGCGCGCATATACACTAGAATGTGCGGAAATTGTTTTATGCACGCTTTAAAAATGTTACACACTGGAAAATGAAACAAGGCGTGCAACTTCGTTTGCCCCTTTTCTCATTTTTTCCTGTTAAAAGTTATACGCCGCTTACCAGCTGAATTACCAGCCCCATCTCTGCAAATAATTCTTATACAATGATAAAAATCCACAGGTAAAATTCGTGGCATCTTATATTTTTAAATAATTATTTTCGGCATTTTTTCGTTTAATTTTTGTAATCACAGAAGTCCCCGGAATTACAACGTCCAAAACCCAAAACGGGCGGAAGAAAATTAATGACAGCTCTGAAAATCGCAGGGAAAGAGTATTTGCCGATTTAAACTGTCTAAAATTTCTTACCAAATAACTTACAATATGATGTTATTAACCTGTATCATTTACCAAAGGAAATTAAACTCTAATAGATAGACGGAAGGGGGGGGGGTCTCGTCCACTTGTTCAAAAGTGTGTACTAATCGAAATCAATCATTGCGTGAAAACTTAAACGAGCAAAAAAAAAATTAAATGAAGAAATTAAAAAAAAAAACAAAAGAAAGAAAAGAAAGAAAGAAAAGCTGTTTAAACTTAAAACTGTATTTCATGAGAAAGGTGTGGGAAGTTCAATAAATATTCAATGGGCATAAACTCTCTCTCTCTCTCTCTTTCTCTCTCTCTCTCTCTCTCCCGAAAAGATAAAATAACCATTTGGCACCAAAGTGTAAAACGTGTGAAGGGTAGAAGGTGATGGGGATAACTTTCGTTACGATGAAAGAAATATACTGAGGTAGGGGACAATGTACATGTAGATGCCAACTTGAATATCCCCCCCCCCTTTCCATGCGTAAAGGATTTTTGATTAAGCAACGAATTCTGGCGTTACTGATATGTATTTTGAGCTGCATATTCAAAACCAGATTTTTTGTATTTTTTTTTTTTTTGGTAAAAAATATTTTTTATGCAATCAGATAAGTTTCAACTGGTAAATATATTCTGGCTGCAGGCATATACACACCTTTCGTGTCTTTCAGAGCAATCACCTGTAGTTATAGTAAAGAAAAACATGCAGTTGTTGTACAAATAAACTAGCCGAAATGTTTAATATATTCTTAAATTTATCTAATAATGTTTCGCCTGAAATACAAGTGTGTTAGATAAGGTATAACCCCCCCCCCTTTCCGTCTATCTATTAAAGTTTAATTTCCTTTGGTAAATGATACAGGTTAATAATATTATATTGTCAGTGATTTGGTAAGAAGTATAAGACAGTTTAAATCGGCAAATACTCTGATCCCTGCGATTTTCAGAGCTGTCAAATAATTTTTGCGCGCCGTTTTGGGTTTTGACGTTGTAAGAGCGCGACTTCCGTGATTACAAAAATTAAACGAGCGAAAAATGCCGAAAATAATTATTTAAAAATATAAGATGGATGAAAAGTTTATACCTGAGGATTTTTATTTTTGTATAAGAATTATTTGCAAATTTAATTCAGCTGGTAAGCGGCGCATATAACTTTTAACAGGAAAAAATGGAGTCTGGGGCACGGAAAGGGGCAAACGAAGTTGCAAGCCTTGTTTCTTTTTAGTATACAGTGGGATACGTCATTTTTAAAGCGTGCATAAAATCGAATTTCCGCGACATTCTAGTGTATATGAAGGAGAAAGGTTTACAAAAAACTAAAAATTAACACTGCACACTGAAAAAAAATGTTACGAGTATAGTTCGAATTTCCTCGACAATACATTATATAGAAAAAATACAGTATCCTTGACCCAAGCGCCTATGAGCCATGCATTAAGATATCCTACAAATATATATATAG